AATCAATCAATCAATCATGTGACTGACTCCTTCCAACACAAACAGATATGAGGTATTGCCCAAGATGTCACTCACCAACCAATTACAATCGTTGGTATAAGGAGAGCGAAGCTTATGAGTTGGAGTACAAGTGGATATACGAGCCATACTTGATGTTCAACCGCTCGCAGTCCGAGCTGTTTGACGAGCGCTTCAAGGGCTACGGCTTTGACAAGAACTCACAAGTGTTCACGATGGCTGTCATGGGCTTCAAGTTCAAGGTGCAGCCCGCATCATATATCATTCACATCAATCACGAGCAGTCCAAATGGGATGGCGAGGAAGAGATCAACGAGCAACAATGGGATGCCCTCAGGGTCTTGTGCGACATGATACCCAGTGTCAAGACACGCTACGGCTACGAGGTATCCAAAAAGGTATTCGACGAGCCGCTGCCCGCTGAATGCTACTCCGACCAGCATTGGTAGTTGTCTCATTCAATTATGTACAATACCAACAAATATATACAACCATTCAATCAATCAATCAATCAACTTAATATGCATGATGATCAATTTTTATTTGGACAATTCGATCAATCAAAGAATGAGTACATTGCATTCCACATTGCTGCAGTCTCTGTTGGCTGGTTGTATGGATCGACGTCGTCCAAGAGCCAGACGGCAACACCACCGACGCCAAGTTTCTTGGCAGCTTGCACCTTGATGGTGAGCGAATCGGGGTTGTCGAACCACATCTGGCGCACGGTGTTGGAGCTTGTGTCGACAAAGTTGAAGAAGGGGGTCTGTGTCACGTCGTCCCATTGCATGCCGCTGGTGGTGATCGATGTGTTGAGCAACGTTACGATCTGGGAGTAGGTCAGCTGGTTGATGTAGAAGGACTGCCAGCGGTAGGTCGTGTCGTAGTAGCAGTTGCGCGTCTCCAGGGTCATGTTGCTCTGGCAGGTGTAGTTGTAGGCGTACCAGGGGTAGCCGTTGATGATCTTCTCGGGGGGCACGTGGATGGCCAGGTAGTCGGAAGTGGCCGAGACCAGCTCGGGCAGGTCGCAGTTGGCGCCGGCCAGGCCGTTGATGTTCATGTCGTAGTCCATGACGATCATAATGTCGCTGACCTGTGACAGGCCGAATGTGTCGTAGCAACGGTTCCAGTAGCAGTAGGGGCCGGGGGCCAGGTCGATCGAGACCTGGTAGCCGGCGTTGATCTGCTTGAGTTGGTAGGCGAGCTCGATCATCAACTCGGTGAACAATGCCGACTCCATCGACTGGTTGGCAAAGAGGGTCGCTTCAAAGTCCATGTTGAAGCCGTCGTAGTAGTTGTAGGTGACCTCACCAATGGTGTTGGCTATAAAGATCTCCTTGTAGGTTTCGTTGAAGATCTGGGAGACGTCGAAGCCGACGCCGACACTGATGCGCGCGCCAGCCGCGTGAGCCTGGCAGATGATCTGGGGGTCTGGGTCGGTAAACATGATCAGGGTGGTCAGGTGCGCCAGGTTGTAGGTGGTCCATGCGTCTTGGGCCGTGGTGAAGCCGACAAACTCCTTGCGTGGTCCAATCGTCAGTGGATCACAGAGCGAGGCGTTTGAGCAAGGGCATGTCTGTGTCCCTCTTTCCAACTTGTGGTGATGTGGTAGCAAAGGTGCACGTCTAGGGTTGTTACCAACATGTTTATATCCAGAAGGTGTTGGTGTTGATGAGTGGACCATTGTGATCATCATCATCATGATCACAAGTGATCCAACAACAATATTTGTTGTTGTTGTGTATCTCATTATTATTTGTTTGTAAAATATATATTGAGTAAAGTAAAGTAAAGTAAATTGAAATGGAGTTTGATTGATGTTAAATTAACAGGTGGTAATGCAATTGTATTGCTGTGATCATCACATCATTAATTTTGATTGACCTTGGTTGAAAAAAAATGGAACATCTATCCAATCAAAAAATATCTTATTTAACATGTTTTTGTTTTTCCTCATCGAATATTTTATAATATTCTTATGATTATTAATAAATACATAAAAGATATTTGGTTTACTATGATTTGTAATATTATTAATCATAATCTGTTTCTAAATGTTTGATAGATATTCCCGATTGATGAGCTCAAGAAGGACCTGATTCCATAATGACGAAGGTGGGGAGTTGAACTCCCAACAAACAGAGAATGAAGGTGTTTTGGTTTTTTTCAAAAGTAGATGTATTGTTCTGTTTCCAACTTTGTCAACTGCAAACGACTACTACCTCGAACAAACAACAGTATCTAGTATCTTCGAAGACATCTCAATAACACTTACACTTACATACATTTAAATATAGATATATATATATATATATATAGATATAGATATATTTATATATGATTACAACAACACAATCTCATTCAATCAATTAATCAACCATTCATTCATTCATTCTTGAATTTGTCTCGACTAGCCATCCCCAATAAGTGACACGTTAGTCTTTGAGATGAATAGACAGTTTATGACATCACATCTGGACGATGAGGGTAGTCCAGATATACAATCAGAGCACAATGATTACTTTGATAGCAACCCTTTCATGAATGATCCAATCAATACACAACAACAACATCATGCACCTCTGACAACATCAAGTCGGCATAGTATTCAATATAGTAATAATAATAATAATAGTAACAACAATAGTAATAGTATACATCATCTTCATTTACAACATAACCAACCACACCAACAACATCAACAACAACAACAGATGGACTCACCAATAATGATGTCCAACAGGAATAATGAGAATGAATATGACAATGACAACATTGATGAGGACATGCGACCAAATGACGATGATGACCATCATGATAGTCACAAGAGTTCAGGTCTCACTCACTCAAGAGGCAAGCACACCTTCACCGAGCTTGAGAAGGTCAAGATGTCCAAGTTCGAATCACTCGATTTCCCCATCATCGACAACCAGATCATGCGCGACTTCCAGAAAAAGACGACCATATTCGTAAGTGCTGATATTCCTTATGGTACCGCCACGATGTCCGACTAACATGTACTACTACTACTACTACTTCAGAGTCACATGCTAAAAACATTCGGCAAGTGGGCGATATGCTTCACGATCGGAGTTGTCGTAGGCTGTGTTGCATACCTTGTGAAGCAGTCTGTTGAGTTTGTCAATGAGTTCAAGTTCAGCACATCCGAGAGATATACTGAGGAGGGCAAGAAGATCCCAGCCTTCTTTGTATACTACTCAATCAATCTTTTGTTTGGAGTACTTGCATCCTTGATCATCATTCCAGTCGGCGTAAGTCCATCCACTCGTTGGTCCATCCATTCAATCATTCACATCACTTACTCACTCAATCAATCAATGAATCTAGCAAATATCCTCAGGCTCAGGTATACCCGAGGTGAAGGGCTACCTGAATGGTATCCGTATCCCACAGTCAATGAACGCCAAGACATTGATTGGTAAGGCAGTATCACTGATATTCGCTTACTCCTCTGGCCTGGTGCTCGGACCAGAGGGTCCAATGATCCACATTGGTAGCATGGTCGGTGGTGCCATCGGCCAGGTCAAGTCCAAGACATTCAAGTGGTATCCAAAGCTGTTCTGGAGGTATCACAATGACCGCGATCGTCGTGACTTTATCAGCACTGGTGCTGCCGCTGGTGTGGCCGCTGCATTCGGTGCGCCAATCGGAGGCGTGTTGTTTGGCTACGAAGAAGCCAGCTCATTCTGGTCCAAGCAGCTGACTTGGAGAACCTTCTTTGCGTGCCTGATAGCAACGTTCACGACCAACCTCATTCTGCAGGGCTTCCAAGTGCAGGTTCACGACTATGGTGTGCTGACGTTTGGCTTCTCCCAAGAGTATCTCTACCGCTACTCTGAGCTGCTGGCCTTTGCCGCGCTGGGCGTCATTGGCGGTCTGTTGGGCGCCTTCTTTGTCTACCTCAACGTGCGACTGAGCAAGTGGCGCTCAGAGTTCTTCTCCAAGCTGCCAGTGTACACACGTGTGCTCGAGGTGGTCCTGGTCGTCACACTCACCTCTGTCACCCTGTTCACTGCTGCTGGCGTCACTGGTTGTCGCGAACAAAGTCTCGTCCACAACACCACAATCATCCCTAACCAGAACATCACATTCGTTAGACTCTTCTGTGAAGAGGTATGTATAATATGGAGCAGCGGATGATGTTCACAGTATACTAATACCTCAGCTCGATTAGGATCAATACAATGACATGGCTGGCCTCTCATTCAACACGATGGATGCAGCACTCAGACTGCTGTACTCTCGTGCCGTCAATCTATTCTCAATACCAACATTGGTCGTCTTTACATTCATCTCGTTCATATTGGCAACGATCACATCGGGCTTGATGCTGGCAAGTGGACTCTTCATTCCAATGATGTTGCTCGGTGGCACCTTTGGCCGTCTCGTCGGACAGCTTGGCTCAATCATGTTCAGTCATGCCAACCCTCCCATTGACCCATCCATCTACGCCATGGTAGGCTCATCAGCAATGATGGCCGGTTTCTCCAGAATGACCATTTCTCTGGCCATTATCGTTGTGGAACTCACTGAAGGTAACGATCACAATCAATCAACATTCAATGGAATCATTCCAAACAACATAGTATTAACACACAATTAATATAGGTACACAATATATGCTTCCAGTTATATTATCAGTTATGATTGCCAAGTGGGTCGGAGATATATTCAATGAATCAATCTATGAACACTTGATGGAGTTGAAGTGTTATCCTTATTTGCCAAGCCAGCCGCCAAAGTCAATGATCAAGCTGGGCATCACCGATGTGATGAAGACCGAAGTGGTGACACTGTTCGAGGTGGACAAGGTGTCTCGTATAATGGACGTCCTGCAATCCAATCAGCACGCAGGCTTCCCCGTTATCGAGAAGCACAACCCCAAGACAGTGGACAGCGGCGACTACTCAGAGGACGGCATCTACTGCGGCATGATCCTGCGATCCCAACTCATCATCCTGCTCAACTATAAGATATTCACGCAGGAGCAACAACGTCTGCCCAACAACTTCAAGCGCGGCAAGCACCAACGTCGTTGGGGCAAGGCCACGGACTATGGACACATCCCCGCCGACGGTCGCATGACCTACCAGGTCATGACACAGGCGTTGGCACGTCACTTCCCGCCCATCAACCAGATGGGTATCACCAAGGAGGAGATGGAGAACATGTACATAGACCTACGTCCCTACATGAACCTCAGCTCAGTAGTATCCAACGAGACCTTCTCCTTCAGTGAAGGTTATCAATTGTTCAGAACAATGGGTCTAAGACATATGCCAGTTGGTAAGTTATACGTGATTGATTGATTGGAGTGATNNNNCAGCCCTCAACTAACATGTCTTCAATCAAACTCCACCTGCACACACTCAAACTAGTTAACAAGCGAAACGAAGTTGTTGGTATTGTTACAAGGAAGGACTTGCTTTAGATTACTATTACTACTCTACTCTTTTTAGATTGAGTACCAATCACACAAGGATAAACGATGATTTGGTTGGTCTTTATCTCTATCTATTATTCATTGTCCTGCGAGAAAGAAAGAAATTGAAGTAATAACTTAATTAAGATCTGCCAACATTGAATGAAAGGTTGGTTGCATCTGGGCCCATTGATGACGATGGATGGGTTTGGTCGTCTGTTCATATAACTGGTAAATCTAAAACAATCATTAATCATTCAATCATCTCCCTTCATGTCTTTTGTTTCATAATGACCAAACCCATCCAGAAGCCACCCAAAGGTTGGTTGGTTATTGGTTTTTTGTGAGAGATGGCACTCACAGGTGGACCTGATTGATAATTTCAGTTAGTTATTATTCATCTGAAAAAGAGGAAATATCTGATTGATCAAGGTGGTGATTGCCCTATGTTAGCTATGGTGGCTTGGCAACAACAAAGAACTCACTCACTGACTTGATCTGCTGGTCCAATCCAATCAAGCCACTCACTCAACCCAGCTAGCCAGCCAGGCAGTCCAGTCCGTTCCCTCTGTGATAGTGTGTGTTGTATGAATGATATCGAACAATCAATTAATCAATCAATCAATCACTTGTTGTAAACATATAGATAAATACTATCAATCAAATATATATATATAATATTTATATAAATCCCCTTGTTGTAATTTAAATACCCAACCAACCAAATAATAATAATATAATAATGTCAGCTCCATCAAAGTGTGAAGAATGCGCCAAGAGCGTCTACCCATTGGAGGCCCTCACTGCCGTCGGAAAGTCGTGGCACAAGCACTGCTACAAGTGCGCTGAGTGCAAGCAGGTTCTTACCCTGAAGACTGCCCAGCCACATCAGGCCACCGGCAAAATCTACTGTAACACTCATATTCCAAAAATGGTCGCCACTCAAGTCGCCGACTCTGTTGCCATCAAGAATGCCACCAGTATGTATCAATCTATTCATTCATTCGATAAATCAATAGATAACTAACATCTCCAAACATTCAATCAATCATTCAATCAATACAGGTGCACCAAAGGTTGCCTTGGTCAACAACCAAAAGAGAGGAGATGATATGGAGGCACCAATCCAGACTGCTGACACTATGCAGTTGAACAATGCCAGAAGTAAGAGATTGAATGGAAGAGGTGGAAGAGATGGAGGAAGAAAGATGGAATGAAGGTCGATGGAAGGAAGGAGGGAAGGAAGGTAGTGGACTCAAACAATCAATCAATCACATTCAATCGATCAATCAACAACAATGGACATGATGGATATTAACATTTTGTTATTATTATTACTTTAGATGCACCAAAGGTCGAGCGTCTCCCACCTCACCTCAGAGAGGACCAGCACGTCAAGCCAATTGCCACTCTGGATATGGCACACACCAACGCCTTGAACAGACCAAAGTTGGCCACTGTAAATAACCAAGTATACGGAGTTGATGCCCCAATCGGAGGCATTGACGTCACTCTCCAGAACGCCATCAAGGCCCCCAAGGTCGGCACTGTCAACGAGCAGCTCAGAGGCACTGGTGACGCACCATCCCAGGTTGCAAGTCTCACCACTCAGAACGCCCTCAACGCACCAAAGGTTGGCGCCTTCAACGAGCAGATCAGAGGCACTGGTGACGCACCATCCCAGGTTGCAAGTCTCACCACCCAGAACGCCCTCAACGCACCAAAGGTCGGCGCCTTCAACGAGCAGATCAGAGGCACTGGCGACGCCCCATCCCAAGTGCCAAGCGTCGTCACTCAGAACGCCATCAACGCACCAAAGGTTGCCTCATACAACGAGCAGATTAGATACGCACCAGCCAACACCTCTGTCGGTGACCTGACCGTCTCTGTTGCCGAGGTTGAGCTCGCTGACGAGTAAACCCGCTTGCTTCCATGCCCGAATGATCAATCAGTATAAACACCTCGGTGACATGTATTTACATCCATGTTACCAATCAATCCAAATAAATGTGATAAGACCATCTGGTCCTTAACAGGGCCTTATTTATTCCCCCAACCCTGCCTAGGCCTACCCTACCCTGTGTACAACAACAACAGCATCATTAGCTCCAGGAGCGATCACTTCAACAGCATGAGTATGACCAACATGCCAACCCTCACTCACCCCATTAGATTGGCGAGTTTGGATGTTGAACTTCCCTTGGCGCCTTAGCTCTCTTTGCGCAATGTGCTTACACTCAAATGAATGAATGAATGAACTGAACTCTGATGACATTCATTCATTCATTCATTGTGATATATCTGAATGATTCGATCAAGATGTCATCACTAGATGATAATTATATAGACGATGGTGATGATGAACTGACAGCAAATGACGATGATGATGAATACTATTACAGCGATGCAAAGACACTCGAGTCAAGGTCATCATCATCACTCAAACATAGAGGTTCATCATCAAGGACTCGTCACAGATCACATACCCAACAACAACAAGATGATATACAAAGACAACAACAACGAAGAAGAGGAGGTCAACAATTAGGATTCTTTGACAATATTATTAGAGAGTTGGAGTCGATTGGAGCGTCTCTATCATCTACATTACTCAATCTACTAAGGAATGTGCGACTCATGTCCTATGCATCACTAATCATTCACTGTCTATCAATATATCTTCTATTCACTCTTCCTTCAATGGGTATGTTGTTCATGAGTCACTCTTGTCACATCACATGATACTAACTTCAATGACAATGACAATGACAATGACAGGCTCCAACACTTATGTGTCTGAGAAGAACCTTCAATGTACAGTTACACCATTCATTACCAATACATTCTCAGAGAGTGCATTGGCCTACGCCAATGAGTTCAAGACCAAGGTATGCTATGCTGTAGCACCGCAAGCAACCAACCAATCACTCAATCAGACCAACTTACTAAGACTTTCAACCACCCTCCCGACATAGTTCCCAAGTCGATCAATTGGTAGCAAGGAGAATATGGACAGCGCATTGTGGATAAAGGAGAAGATGATTGAGATTGGCGCAGACGCGCAGCTGCACTACTTCAACTCATCGTTTGGAAGGACTGGCGTCAATGTCGTGGGAGTGAATCGCGCCCCTAGATCATTGGGCACGGAATGCTTCGTGTTGTCCACGGCCTTTGATCAATGGCATAGCCCTGGCGCCGTTGGCTTCTTATTGGCATTCCTGCAGTATCTCCAATCGACTTCGTGGCAGGCTAGGGATGTACTGTTTGTGATCACCAGCGAGGGAGGCGAGCTCAATGGGGGCACGGCGATGGACATCAGTGGCATCTCAGTGTGGACACACGACTACCATGCGTCACCGATACGCACCAATCAGTCTCCCCAGCGCAGAGGATGGACGGACAGCGACGACGGCCGTCTTATCCGCTCAGGATACATCTATGGCGCAATCGCCCTGGATCGCGTTGGCAACAGTGGCATGGAGAAGTTGGTCGTCTATCCCGAGGGCCTGAACGGCGCGCTCTCTAACCTGGACATCATCAACGTGTTGACCACCACATCGTACTTGAACGAGATGCCTGCAGGCATCGTCACGCAGGTTGGCGAGGAGGAGGATGATGGATCACTCTTTGGTCTGCTGGTGTTCATGTGGAACTCGGCCCTGTCAATGCCACGCTCCAACCATGCAGTGTTCACCAAGTATGGCATCAACTCTGTTGGCGTCAGCACCTATGCCGATCACAACATCTGGGACATGTCATTCATGAACTCCCCATTGCACAATGAACTCAACTATCAACAGAGCGTCAATGACTTTAACACCCTAGACAATGGCACCATGTTCAAACTTGGAAAGATCATTGAGACCTCACTCAGGCATCTACATAATGCTGATGAGCAGTTACACCAGGTAAGTACCAGTTGACGGAATCATTCCACAATCAATCACTCACACAATCAATCAAACGATCAATCAATGTAGAGTTTCTCCTGGTATATGATGGCTGGCGCAGTATTCTTTATCGATCTTGGACAGGCACTGTTGCCTCTGATCTTTTTATCAGTTTCATTATTCATTCTCCTGTTGTCCTTGATTACCTCGGTCAACAATATCAACTACAGCGTAATACGTTCACTGCCATGGTTCATCTCAATCCTGGCCTTCTGCCTGATGGAACTGTGCTTGCCAAGATTCCTTGCATCCCTAGGTCTTATACCATCTAAAGATTTGAATGTAAGACGATACCGAGTGATCAATCGTTGACTCATATCTAACATCGATGCCATGTCACACTCATAGCCATCCAATCTCTTGGATATCAATATGATTACACACCTTGGTATAGATGATCAGATCATTGTTGTATCGGGCATCTACATTGTTGGATGTTTTATCATTTACATCGCAGTGCTCAGACCTGTTGCCAACTACTTTAGCGCGATGCTATCAACAGTCCAGACCATCAATAATGGTGATGATAATCATAGTTGGGCAGGTCTCCAAACAATATTGATAGCCTGTAAGTTATTGGCGATCGTCCAAACACAGCACTGGAACTCGACTAACAATCAATCAATCAAATCACACAGACTACTCATTACTGAATCTAATGGGAATGATGCTTAACAATCAATTCGCCAATCTATTCATATGCATATCATTGCCAACTTTACAACTGACAACATTGTTGCTGTTGGGCAACTATCATATGATATTCCGAATGATATGGATGCTCTTCTGTCTGCTGTCACATCCACTGGTGCTCCTGTTCGAATTGTGGGGCACATGGTCAGTTGGCTGGAAACGTATGATCATTGGCGTGCTTGCCGGACACGAATGGGGATTCCTGCTCTGGACATTCTTCATCATCCTATTGCAGCCACTCTGGATTGTAATGTTCCGGTTGCTCTTTGTCACTGGTGCAAAGAAGAAGAAGTAAACGAATAATGATTGAATGATTATTACATTAAGACAAGTTTGTTCCTGATATATCATTGTGCCCAACGACATATCAACCCAACATCGATGGACATACACAACATGTGGAACCAGTGGTAGTATGTCTTGCAAGATATGTCATGGTCACTGGCTAGTTGGTTGGATGTCACCATCCTCGCCAACAGTCTTCCTCTTTGTCCTTTATTCTACAATCAGTGCACTTGTCATGAGATAGACGAGTGCGTTATTCGTCGTTGCTATTGTTACCTGATCACTCTCTCATTCACTCTCTCGCTCTCTGTTGTTGATGTTGCTACTGCTCTCACTTTCTCTCTCATTTCGATGCTGACACGTACGAGTTGTACACCTGAGTTATGAATTGATCGTCCTGTGATGTATGAATGGATAGGATAGCGTTAGTAAGTTAAGGAATATCTTGGATGGGCGATCAATGACTTACGTTGACAAGCCTCTTTAAAACCTCTCTTAGTTGGTCCTTGGTCAATGATGCTGTTGTGGCTGCTTGAAGTGGCGCATTGTTTGGTTGGGTGGCGTGATGATGGTGGTGTTGGTGATGCTGATGTTGATGATGCTCGCTCTCCAGAGTGCTGACACTGATGCCTGCGTGTGTAGCAGTGGGAGATGGCACATGATCGGTTGGAACATGCAGACCAGGTGGCTTCAACGCCACACTGCTCATCAGCTTGGCGAGGATATCCGATGATTCTTTCGATGGAGGTGGTGTTGTGCGCTGGGGTGGAGGTGTCTGTGTCGTTGGCATTTGTTGGTGTTGCTGCTGCTGCTGGAACATCTGAGGCTGGACCAATGGTTGCACTGGAATTGGTTGGGGCATTGGCTGCTGGGGCATTGGTTGTTGTGGCATTGGGTGAGGCATTTGCTGTTGCATCATCGCCTGCATCATTGGCTGCATCATAATGTGTTGCATCATTTGAGGAGGGGGTTGCGGCATCGGTTGTTTTTGTAGCTGAGGCGGCTGTTGATGTATGACTGGGGGTGGTGCACGGGGCAGCGACAACTGCTTCTGTATCTCCTTGAGTTGGTTAAACAATCGCTCCTGCTCTGAANNNTCCTAWAACYWTAYKCCTTTAAATATTTATCATAAATAAGCCTACCTGCGGTAATCTTGTTTTTTGAATACTTATATAATAGCGTGACGCACGTAATT